AGGAGAGGAGAGGAGAGGAGGAGAGGAGAGGAGAGGAGAGGAGAGAGAGGAGAGGAGAGAGAGAGAGAGAGAGAGAGAGAGAGAGAGAGAGATGAGAGAGAGAGAGAGAGAGAGAGAGAGAGAGAGAGAGAGAGAGAGAGAGAGAGAGAGAGAGAGAGAGAGAGAGAGAGAGAGAGAGAGAGAGAGAGAGATCCATGTTATGAGAGGTTTGCACTGAACAGCTAATTTTGGAAACAATGTACTATGCAGCAACATTTTGCAAGTCATTTTTAAACGTGCGTATCTATGTTAATTGGCTGTGCTAATGAACTAGACTGTGCGATGTTATCAAAACCTTTTCACAAATATATAGCGAAACGGTTGAAAAATGACCACCATTATGGAGGATTATTAAATACGATCCAACGCAGAGCAGCATCAACTCTTTTTGTACCGAAACTGGGCCAATGGGGCAGGAACGACAAAAGTCGTCGAGACCCGGTCATTCGGATGACTGAAACGAGAAACTGTCATAGTGTATTCCGACATACGCTCGTTCAACTACCATGGTTGGCACAATTCACTTAGGTACTCCCGGTCAGTTAAAGTAAGAACAATCAAACAAGACACAGCCCCATAGTCCAGCGGGCACACACAGTCCTGGTCCTGTAGTCAGCCCGGAAGCACTCCTATTCACACACGGCTGTGTCCTATCGGGGTCCCCTGCACGTAGCAGACGTGAGTAAGCCCGACTCGGCATGGCTGGATGGTCGGACTGGCACGTCGCACGCCGCACGGATGCGGGCTGGGTAGTCTGCGAGTGACCAGCACGCGCCGTCCTCAGTCCATACAGACACGGAAGAGGACTGGACTTTTGGTCGTTACCATAGACCTCTGTATATATCTGACACACCGGTCGATGTTGTGACCGCTGGCAGGTGAATGTAATACGAGCAAGGAGCGGTGACCGGTTCGCCTCGCTCTCAGTACGTCATAGTTAAACGGGCCTTATAGATAATTATGCAAGCCGGTAAGATGCAAAGGTAGTACATAGAATCCGGCTGCCCGCCCGGGCTCCCACAGCCTACATGCCACGCATCACACCAAACGCTCAAAACCAGCCAGTTCGATCATGATTCACCTGCAGCCGTTCATACCGCTCCGATGACAATGTGATGTTCTGCCTTTGGTAACACCACTCGGCACCCACCTCACAGGGATGAGGGAGAAGAGAGGGTCCTAGCTGCTGGGGGAGGGGGGGGGGGGTCACAGCAGTTACCCAGCCAGGGTGGGTCACTGCATGCACTATAACGGTGTCGCCGTGCAAACGACCGCGCCAGCCGCGCTGCATTGCAGAGGTGGGGAAACAGAAGAGCGGAGAGTGGGGGGGGGGGGGGGAGAGGCGTCCAGTGAGCAGGTGCGTGATTGGTGAGGGTAACAACCCGAGGAATGGAGACCAACAACTTTGAGCTCGCTGCTGGTGTACCAATTTTCAACTGGAACTTTCGATGTCAGCTTGCAGCACAAATCAAGGTTAACTTCAAACGCCAGTCACCTAGTCAGAATAGTGTATTTCCGATTAATGATATACCTGGTATACAATAGACTTTACAAAGGCGGGAACAAAATAGATGATTCGCTACGCTCTATCCCGGCCCGCCCCCAAAATACACCGGCCGGTTATAACAGGCGCACACTGCCGGCCGGCGGCCCTGCGCGGGCTGCCAACAGCAGAAGCAGGCGGTAACACCCATCACAATACAATCCCGCAACCGAGAACAGGGCGGCCACCCACCGCCGCGCACGCCCGTTTAAATATAAAAGCTCCCGGCTATGTACAGGTTCGGATACCAGCGGTGGAATGCAGCTGTGATGCCGGAGGCCGCCCACCGCACGCGCACGGAGCACCACACACTCACACACAGTCAGAAACCAGCGGTTATCATGCCCAACAGCGGCGCGCACGTCCACCAGATCGGTATTGTCGCCTCGGAGCAGCACGTTTTCGGCAGCTCCGCCCAACAGCCCACATGCGCGCGGTGTATCACGAATGTTAGCACTGCCGACCCGGCCCGGCCCGACCCCGCTAGCCGTCTCTCGGCGGAGCCGTTCTGTAAGACTCGCCCTTCGTGTCCGGTCGGGCGGCGCGGGTCTCTCGTTCACTGGGTGGGGCCGGCCGGACCCCCTAATCTCACACACTACCCTGGACCACCGCGCCGGCCGCCGCAGCCCAGCCCACAGATCTGTGCCTCTTACTGGACCGGCTGACCTACCGCCTCTGATGGGACGCCATCACACGCCGGCCCCGGATATCAGTCACGGCGTCAGTGACGTCACTCCAAGGTGCAGTAACGTCAGGGGGACACTTGGTGACGTCAGTAGCACCCTTTCAAGGCCTGATGACATCGGGTTAGCCTAGGCCCGCGGACAGAGCAGTTGGCTCTTTCCTGTGTCCCCAGCGTCGCGGGTCCTTCCATCATTTTGCCGTACCTGATGATGCCACACTCCGGGCAGATGACGTCACAGGACGACCTGGTGACGTCACCGCTGACCGGTCAGGGTTCCAGTTCCAGTTAGGAGCACACTATGGCCCGCAGTTCGTCCACGACGTTAGCCAGCAGCTGCTGGTTGGTTCCCTTGCCGTCAATGCCCAGACGACCAGCCGCCTGCGGTAGGGAGAGCAAAAGGTCACACAATGAGGAAGGCAAAGGTCACAAGAGGAACACAAGAGGACACATATGTAGCCAGTACGAGCAATAATAATACTCGTAATAATTAGTTGGGGATTCGAGGGTCCGGATTCAGCGAACAACAAAAAGGTCATCGGCGACGTGGCGGCGACTCTGGTAGATGTCTTCAGGGACCGCTAGGAGGGTGTCATCTTCATTATTAACTGTTCATCATGCCGATCACGGTATCATCATGGGTACGGTACCGATCTGCCCACAGTGACTGATGCATCAGAGCCAGGGTTGCTGCCACACCGACCCACACAGTCAGCGCCAGGGCAGCCACCACCACACCCAGCCGCCCGACCCGTTACATTGCCCGCATAGCGGCGGGCGCAGCAAGCAGACCCCCGCCCAGTCGACCGGTCGGGCGGCCGGGCCGGGTCGGCGAAAAATTTGTGAACAATGGACAGGGACATGTTCGATGCCGGAACCACTGGGCTCGCCCTCACTGCTGCAATACCCGCGCAGTGCAGAGCAGGGCCATTGTACTGAGCCCTGACCAGGCCAGACCCAATCATCAACGAACAGGCCTGGTCTAGCTCAGCTACCAAAGAGTCTCCTCGACCCAATCTGAGCCGACCCGACCAAACCACGGACAACAGCAGACAAACAGACCAGTGATCACCTACGCGAAACCCCAACCCGACAGATGTGGCCAAACGTGAGCCAACTCATTCTCGGATATACATACAGTCCCAGTGCAATTTCTGAACATTCGATCCATGTCAGTGACATGAACGCGCTCAGCTGTGCCTAAATACTGACGAGGCTTCCATCTTGTCTCACAAACTAATGACAAAAAGGAGGAAACACAAAAGCGAAGACCAGTCCCATTGACGCGAAAGGTTTATGATAGGACGTTACTGGGAGTGGGGAGTTTGTTACAAGGACCACATACAATCCTGCAGCAAAGTTACTGATTAGGTATTGAAAAATGAGGCCCAATTAAAAACACGGTGAGAAATAGTAGGCATAAAACCAAACCTATCGTTTAACGCAGGCTCACGTTCAACTGAATATCCCCAAAACGGCGCTGGTGACCCAAAACCCGCGCCGCAGGCTTCATCCGGAGTTGACCGAACTCTCACTTCCTACCCCTACCCGCCCCGCCCACGCCCAGCTGCCCCACCTGACCCAGTGTGCCGGCGGCCTCCCACCACTGTGTCCCCTCCCCAGCCCGGGGGTAAGCTAACACCCTCCCCTGCCCACCACGCCTGCAGTATGTTGCAGGGCGATGGCCATAGATACACGCACAGTGCATACGCAATGCGTGCGCATAGCAGAGCGTATCATTAAATCAGTGGGCGGCATATACAAGTGCTCGATAACGGGATTGTGTGGATGAAAATGGGGCTCGACAGGGAGGGACCAGATATCCGATTGCGCCACTAACTATGATTACATGATCAGTGACCACCCTGCGGTGATGCTAGATCTTAGGTAACGAAATAGGGCACAACACGAGCAACGTGGTGCCTCTTGGCTACCTATTCATGGTGAATGATGAATTATTCTTATCATTGATTTGAAAAATGATTCTTACAGATAGTCTACCTAAATCTACATCACATGAGCTCATATAACCACTGTTGCCCAGCGCACAGGCTACATTAAAAAAAGTGGGAATACGGAGTTCAATATGGTAGTCATTTTTCGAAAAAGTATCGATCAGCTATTTGAGTATTACCGATCAGCTACTCCAGCATTACTGACCAGTTGCTTGAGCACTACTGACCAGCTATTTGAGCATTACTGACCAGTTGTTTGAGCAGCAGGCAGATGTGGTCGCCCTGCACGGAGCGGCTGTAGAGGCTGGCCGTGGTGTCGATTTGCTCCACCACCGTGTGACGGCCCCAGAACGCTACCTTGTGCAACACCTGCAACATATACAATCAGTCAGACACGGACACAGTCAGTCAGAACATACAACACACAAAGTATCGGCCCCAGAACGCTACCTTGTGCAACACCTGTAACATATACAATCAGTCAGACACGGAGATAGTCAGTCAGAACATGCAACATACAAAACATCGGTCCCAGAACGCTACCTTGTGCAACACCTGTAACATATACTATACAGTTAGTCAGACACGGACATTTTCAGATCACAGAACACAGAGTGTCGGCCCCAGAACGCCACCTTGTACCACAAGTCAAAGAGACAAAGTCAGATCTCAGAGAAGTCACAATAGGCATATCACAGAGTATCGGCCCCAGAAAGCTACCTTGTGCAACACCTGCTATACAGGGAGTCAGAGACATAAATACATGCGTGCCAGTCAGATCACAGAGCACAGCATATTATGCCGGCCCCAGAAAGCAACCTTGTGAAGCACCCGTAGGGACAGACGTTGAAGAGTCGAGACGTACAGACAAACCACACAACTGGCAATCGAACCACAAATCACGCAACTGCAATTGCCCCAGAAGGCCACTCGACCTAACATTAACCACACAGACACAGTAGCTGAAACGTTCCGTTCACATAACTACGCAGCTTTGAATTCAAGCCCAAATGCAGCTTCGCATATCTCCCTAACCTGATTAAAGTCGTCCGTGACCTCTGACACGACGCAGGTGGCCCGCGCAGTCAGCTGATCGCCCGACAGCAGGTCGGCAAACAGCTGTTTGTCGTCGAGCTGACCAATCAGGAGCGAGGTGACCGGGAGCCGGAGCTTGAACGCCAGCCGGTCACTGTCGCCCGACTGAGGGAACACAAAGAGACAGCGCTGGTCAGAGGGGACTGTAGGGCATACGGCGAGAGCGAAGTCAAATAAGGGAGACGTGGGACATAAGAGGGGAGGGAAACAGAGGTAACGGAACCATTAATTATAAACAGTCAACATCATAGGCTAAACTACTTACTGATAGCGAATTTCTAAACAAAGCGGTTGTTCCCAACCTAACCTTCGCTCAGACACCCCCACCCTTCTCCACCATGCATCAGCCTGAGAAGCAGCTGCACTGACCGTTGTTTTTGATGTGATGCTGGCGGCCAGTTTGAGAGGCACGCTGACCTCATCCAGCCGGAGCCGGAGCGATACTTCCTCGGAGGCGCCGGCCGGCAGCGACAGCGACTCCAGCTGGCCAAGCGGGTGGGGGTTAGGGCAGGTCAGATATATTCTCACTGGGAACTATATTGGGAGTACAGTACATTATGATATGTTACAACCAGTCGCTGAAGTAAAAATAAACTAAGGAAGGGTGATGGCAATCATATGAGTTGCAACGCCACCTAAAAGATACGCAATGCACACATAGATAACATGCCCATCAAAACTAATTCTCAACGGCCATGACATGTGCGTTTCATACCTCAAACAGTTCCTCCTATTCTCCCCAGACTGTCTCCCATCTCATCTCTCTGGCCCTTTCCGCTCACCTCCTGTACGAGTGTGACGCCGTCTTTGGGCGTCAGCTCGAGCAGCACGTCCGTCAGGTCGTCCCTGCCACGGTTGGTGACTGCCACGGCCACCGACACCTCCCCGCTGTCCGCCGCACCGGCGCGAGGCTCGTACATCTGACGGCGACGATAAGTATCAGTGGCGTGAGGACGGGCGAGGGAAATAAGTATGTGTTAGAGCGGTATTATAGAGACGGGCGGAGGGCGTCAGCAAATGGAGGTCGAGTCACAAAAAGCTTTAAAAGTTGGCACTCGAGTTAGATTCGATCCGACACTGACCGACGATACGAATGCTGTTTGTTCAAAATGACGCAGGTCCAGCGCCCCACTCAAACTGCCCCAGCCGACCGCACATCTCACCAGTTTGAGGTGTTCGTTTTCGGCTAGCGGCCGGAGCCGCGACTCTGACACATCCTCTCCCAGTCCGGGCAGCAGCACCTCGTGGCTGGGGGTCGATATGCCGGCCGCCTCCTCGTACCCCAGCAGGCGGCCAGACTTCTCCTGTGGAGCGGCCGACGATAATGCAATTACAGCAAAACCACTAACCCAACACTCCACCCGGCACACTCAACAAGACTGAGTCAATATCAGACATAGCTAGCATACTCAGCACAACTTACATACAGATACCCTATTGGATACTTGGGCAGAATAAAGCCGAGCGATTCCAGGCCCAAGCCTAGGGCACTTTTAATCATTACACGTAACTGACCTTTTTACTCTTCTTGCTCTTCTTGGCCGACTTGTGTTTTTTCTGCTTGGCCTCTCCGTTGGTCTCGGGAGGCGTGGCCTCTCCATTGGCGGTGGGCGCCGTCTCGGCCGGGGCGGGGGCGGGGGCGGCGGGTTTTGGATCGGACGGCGCTAGCAGCTCGGCGTTGCTGGTGGCGGGGGCGGCCGAGTCTGCTGCTCCTTCCGCCGGGGTGGATGCCGGCATATCACTCAGCCAAAACTCGATGTCGTCCTGGGAAAATACGGAAAGTGTCATTGAACACTTAATTACTTTCAAGTCCTGCAGGAAGCTTTAGCTCATTTGGTCACGTACCAACGCTTACCTTCATGGAAGAAGACAAAATCCTACAAATGCGCATTCATCGTGAAGTCCACATACCCTAGAAACTGCCTCAGCTCCTCAGGCTAACAAGAACCCGCTCTTATCCCACCTGCGGGTTTTTGCCGTTGGCCGGTGCCGCCGCGGTCTCCGCCGCCGGCTGCTCGGTCCCCGCCTCCGCCTGTCCGCCTTCCGCCGTCTCCCGGTCGGCCTTGTCCTTCTTGTGTTTCCGCTTCTTCTCGTCCTTGTCCTTCTTTTTCTTCTTCTTGGGCCGCGCCTCTGGCCTGGTGTCGGCCAGCTGTGCCGGCGGCGGCGCCCGTCCCGGCTGACGGTGTGACCTCACCGGCAACACTTCGTCCGGCGCCAGCGGCCTGCGCGGGAAGAGCGAACGTGTGCGGGTTAATAGCGTTGTAATGGCAAATGACGCGCTATTTTCAGGAAAGTAAAACAACAAAGCTGGTGTGGAAACTTCTCAGATTCAATAATTCATAAACGACTTATTTCAGGACCTGAAGAGCAATAGAGACAAGTTGTGTATTCAAAGCATCAGCTAAAACTTTCCATAACACAAACTTACCAAAGTTTTCTTCCCATGGCTGATCTAAGAGAAACTTGACAAAACCTTAGACCTCCGAACCAGCTAACACCAGTGAAATCCGAACCAGTTTCATAAACCTAGTTATATCAAGTGTCTACCGAAAGCTCGCGCCACTCCCACCCCTGACCCAGCACAGCATATCCCTGACTCATTCGTCCAGACCCTCTAACGCGTCTCACTCGCACACTCACTCATCCAGATTGATGTCCAGCGCCCGGTGCGGATCGTCGGCCGGCCGGGTGTCCTTCTCGTCCTCAGAGGAGCGCGCACCCTCGGGCATCTCCCCGCCCACGCTGACCTCGTGCACCACCGGCACGGCGTCCTCGTCAGAGGACGACTTCGGCTCGCCCTCTGAGGAACGAGGAGGACCGGGGAGGGGTCAGAGTAACTGCAGGTGGAACATTACAACTTGTTTGTGGTCATGGGAGGCGGTGATAGCAAAGGCCATGAAGCCCTTGAATACAAAGTGCTTCACTCATTGATGAGAAGTTTTGACGTGGCAAAACGTAACATCGAGTAAACGCATCGATAAAAACTGAGTGGATCTGTTTTGTTAACCATTTAACAGAGGGTAACTTACTCTTCTTCTTCTTTTTCTTGTTCTTTTTACTGGACTTGTATGACCGGTTCTGCATTTTGAGGTAGTCGTCCGAGCTCGCCAGACCTGTCAGAAACAAACAGGTCATTGAAAACCCGACGAATCCATCTAAACGTATACCGCAGCGTAGGTCATGATGTCAAAACCACTGGCCTCATCGAAAGACAACCTACCTTACGAAAACAGTTCGCACAAAGGAAATGAAAATCTCAGGACAAAATATCAGCTTAGCTACAGCATCGCCTAAAAATGGGGGCACTCATTGCACTTTAAGCTGTCAGAAAATTTAGCCATCTTCCTCCCTCCCTCCACCCCACTTACCGCCGATCCGGAGCGGAACGTTGATGTCGAGCTGCTGAACGGGCACATCTCCCATCTCCCCGGCAGTTGCCGAGCCGCCGGCGCCGCCGTAGTTGGCGCCGCTGGACTGCAGCGAGCCCTTCAGGTAGTGCGGGTTGTGCGCCTGCTCGTGCGCCCGCGCCTCGCGACTCTGTGGGAGAGAGCGATACAACGTCAGCGAATGCCAACGTAATAACAGCTGATGTAACAGCGTGATTTCTGGTAAGTCATCGAGCAACATGTTTAAATCAATTGGACAAACGTAACACCAGCTCGACTTAAAACAGACAGAGCTACAGAGATTCGAATTCTGAGACTCATTGAGTTTTGAACACAGAAGCCTTTAAGGAAATGGCAAGATGAGAAAAAACTTGCTACTAAGTTTCCATCCATAATCGTCGTCTCACCTTTCTGAGCTCCTCGTCCAGGACTGTTGTCTCACCTTTCTGAGCTCCTCAGCCGCGGTTGCAGTCTCACCATTCTGAGTTTCTCTACGGACGGCTGCGCTCTCACCTTTCTGAGTTCCTCAGCCGCGGTTGCAGTCTCACCTTTCTGAGTTCCTCGGCGGTCGGCTGGTAGCGTTTCTCGGTATGCGCCGCCGGTCCCGCTCCCCGGTTCTCGGCCTTCACGAACACCTCCACGCCGTAGTCGGCGGTCTCCAGTTCGTCGGCGGATTCGTCCGAAGGCTCGTTAATCCATTCGTCTAGGTTGAGTCCCTCTGGTACCGGGACCTGAAGGATGACGCATATAACAGTCAGTGACGTGTCTCCTGGTTAGCGCCATGGCATGATGCATATTTTTACATCTCGGTTAGTTTACGTCAGCTAGCCTCTCTTGTTCATCGTCAACTCAAGAAGAGTCCTACTTAACCGACCGGTTTGTCCTAAGTCACGTATGAAACTCCCTGAAGAAACAAGCTACATTAACGGAAACTACTCAGGTACCAATCACCACACACCTCAGTCTTATTCTAATGAAACCCAACTCACCTTCTTCTGAGCTTTGGGCGCCACGGGGTTGAGCTCTCCGCTGAAGAGCTGCTGCAGCTCGGCGCCCAGCCTCTCGCCGCGAGACTGCAGCTTTTGGACCGTCTTCATTAGCTGGAGGGCAGAGGTGGCGCGCTCCTGTACCTCCAGATCGGCAGACGAGGCGAACGTCGGCAGCGTCTCGATCATCAGCTCAGCCACCTGTTCAGATGGACGGGGAGGTCAGGGTCGACGTTCATTAACGACACGAACCCGCAACAAATCCCCAAACAAGAACGCATACCGAAACGGTGATCCGGATATTAGGCAAATGAGACAAGGAATCAGCAGACACCTCTGCTTCAGCATCTAGTAAATTCACCTTCGTCTCTCTTTATCCTGCCCCGGCACACCTCACCCAACTCACTACCACTTCCAGCCCACACACCCTCCCTCCCTTGATCCTCGCTCCCCCTCCCTTCTCTCTTACCTGGTTGACCTCCACCATGGCGCCATCCACGTCCTCCGGCTGCTCGCTCTGCTCGGCACGCGCTAACATCCTCGCGTACAGCTTCAGCACGTTCTGAACGTACACTGCTAGGATGTGCGGCGGCAGGCTGGCCGTGCGGGTGCGCAGCATCGCCTCCACGGTGGCGCGGATGTTGGGCAGGTACTCGGCGAACTCACCGCAGATCCACGCGGCCGCGTACAAAACCTGGGAGAATAGTGTAGAGGTTATTTAAGAGTACGGAATGGGAGCGATAAGGCAAGAGAGGCGGTTCAGCATTGCAGTGTTATTCCTGTGAGTGAAAAACGAGACGAATAATAGAAGAACTCATTCGCCACTAGAGGCCAACACCAGGGTTCTGTTTGGTAGTCGTTGATAGACGAAACTAGGAAAAACTAGTAACCATGCATTAGATTGCCTTACGGCGATTACCTACCAAAATAGTTAATCGAACACTAACACACACTGAAACCGTAGCCGATCGGTGAACATCCTAAAAAAAAAACTGAAACACCTCTACTCCACCATCCGATACATTCAAATTCAACCCTTTCCATCTACAGCCAACCCCTCCCACCACACCATACGTCTCCCCTCACCTCCAGCATGGTGTTTTTGTGCGCGGCCGTGGCCAGGACGTGTGCGTTGTCGAGCAGCAGGGCCATCTGAGCGACGGCAAAGTGTCGGATGGCCACCACTCTCACTGTGACGTCCATCATCTGTGCGGCTACCAGCGGGCCGTGCTGGGAGCCCTCGATCCGCGTCAGCTCCACCAGCACGCTCAGGTACCTGACAGAGGGAGGGGATGAGGGTTGTTAGGTCGATTAGTTACCCTATCGGAGCAGCTGACGGCTAACATGAGCTTTCTGAAAGGGTAGGGCTGGTAATGAGTAGTTCAAAAGCAGTAAAAGCCGGCAACAGTTTAGATAACTCTTATGCGCTTTTGAAAACTCAAGAAAAAGTTGAAAGCTGCTCAATACAAAAACACTTGGTAGTTTCATTATTACGTCTACAGATTATCGGTCTATACCAAAATCCAGCCAATCCAGCCTTCCCTACTAACCATTCAAAGTTGGTGACGAACTGATAGTTGTTCTGACTGCAGATGAAGATAAGCTTGGACAGCAGCTCGTCCCTGTAGGTGCTGCCCTCCGCTCGGTCCATGTGCACCATCAGCTTCTTCACGATCTCCATCAGGTTCTTCTTGGAGACCATGCCGTACAGCAGGTCCAGCGCTCGGAGCCGGATCGATTCGTCCTTGTCATCCAGACACTGCATGATGAGGTCCTTGTGCACGGTGACGGACTTGGGGTGGCTCTGCAGGATTTTCCCCATGGCCAGCAGGCCCAGGTACTTGAGGTTCTGGTCAGAGTCCTCGATGAGGATGCGCAGCTTCTGGACGCAGAGCTGGATGGACGCGTTGTGGCTCGGCATGCCGGACGAGATGGAGATGAGTACTGCCGACAGAGAAAACGACGGCTTTTAGAAAAGCGAACATAGTTAACACTTAACAGGGATTCAAGAGGTGCTGCAAAGAGTATATGATGGCGTCCATGGCTTGGTGATTCTTTAACTGACATCGCGACAAGCTAGTCTTACAAAATACACGCTTAAACGACGAAATCAGATTAATGTAAGAAATTTTGAAGTAAACTAGCAGTATTATCACCATCGTGATCTACTAGTTGATTATTCTTTGCATCACTGAGCATATCAAGTGGCAGCACAAAGACAAAACTCCTGGCTATTCCATCTAGCGCTCAATCGCGTCCCGACTTCTGTACTACTTACCGGCAATCACCGTGTTGATACACTCGTACAGCAGCGACATGGCTGATGTACTGGAAACACACAGGGTGGAATGTCAGGGCTGCAAGACACGAGATGTCTACTGTCTACCCATACCACGAGACACGAGGAGTCTCCCCACACCATAAGACATCAGATCGTCACCCCCACCCGGAGTCCAGCCCTGACAATAACTGACCTGTGTATGAGGTTGGTCAGCGGCTCGATCAGCTTGGTACCATCACCCGTCTCCCCCCCCCCCCCCCAGAAGCCCGCCTCTGACCATAACTGACCTGTGTATGAGGTTAGTCAGCGGCTCGATCAGCTTCCGACCCAGACGCGGCTCCAGCGTCGTTAGAGCTCCGAACTGAGGGCACAGAAACAAAAACGGTGTCAGACGGGTAGCCATGCTTGCCGTATCCACAGTGCTAACTGCTCACAGGGATACGAGGGTTGGAATATCGACAGATGTCCGGGCAGCCTACAGTTTGAACAATTAGTCCAGTCTGTGCCGTGGACAGTCTCTCCGGATACCGCTCCCATCACGCCGACTGCGTCATGCTCACCAGCTTGATGATCTTGATGAGCATCCAGTTGTTGGTGGACGAGGTCATCAGCTTGAAGAAGACGGGCGCCAGGCCCAGGTAGTTCTGCGGGTTCTTCCTGGCCAGCTCGCAGATGACGTTCACGGCCGCACTCTGTACACCTGTGGGCACGACGACAGTTAGACTAGGTCAGGGTGGGAAGAACAAAGATTAGTCAATGTGACGTGAGACTGAGGAGCAGCCTTACAGCAGTGCATCAAATGCAAAGGGAGTTACAGGCTACACTTAATGGTACGCTTAGATGTGTTTAGCTAAAAACATCAGCAGAAGTGAGGACAATGAAGCCTACAGGCACAATAATCTCTTTGGGGCACATGTGGTCTGGCTCAGAGGAAGAGAATATCAAAAATTGTCAAATTTGCGCGGCGCATCGCAGGTAGAGAACATCAAAATATTGCATGGCGCGGTGACCTCGAGTTGGAATGCAACATTGCTGTCCTCACCGTTGTTCGCCAGTGCCTACTCTATCCAGAAACCATGTCGCCGTTACTTTCATCCCTCTTTAGGACCAGGAAATCGGAACGTAATACGAGACAGGCTTGTAACCTTGATCTTATTGCTCCTAAAACTGACTTCTTAAAACGCTCCTTATCATACCAGGGTTCAAAATTGTGGAACAGTTTGCCGACACAGATAAGAAGTGCATCTAAAAAGGAATTGATTAGATATCTTCAAACAAAGGAGCACACAGTTTAATTGTCATACATGAGACACATGGTTATTTATATCTTCGCGTATGGATTGCTTCACACTGCGCCGAATATTGTGTTAGTCGATTAAGTGTTCATATATGAATATGTGTGAAATTGTATGCATGTGTGCGTCTGTTTGTGCTATGCCACCGTAATGCCCACTGTTCTGTGGTTGGTGGATGTTTGACATAATAATAATAATAATAATAATAATAATAATAATAATAATGCCTCAATCATGACTTCTGTCACAAAGGAGACCAAACTAACGTTTCACTGTGTGATCGTCGTCCAAAGCTTACCCGGATCCGGATCGTCGAGCTTGTCCTTTAGCCGGGGGAACGCTGGCCTCAGGGCCTCCGGGAACTTGAGGAAGATCTTGTACATGAGCAACACCGCCTTCTTCCGCAGGTAAGGCTTCGTGGAAGACAGCTGCAAACAAAACGCCAATGCGTCAGACAGGCCCGACGTTAAGTCGCAAGAAAGCACACCTTGTACCCATTCGCTCGAACTGCTTACGCCGTGACTCTCCGCTCTCCAGAGGAGCCATCTACCGCTATCCTGCACTCCCCTAACTGTAAATAATTAGAAAAGCTTCCACAGTCACTTTTCATTCCCGTCGCTAGCATCAACCGACCAGCGTCGTAACATCGTTAGCCAGGTCGAGCCATTCACATCTCTACTCGCAAGCGCCCCACCCCGACCCGCTCCTACAAACCACCAAACGCTTCACCTCGTCAACAATCTCCGCCCGCTCTCCTATAACCGCCAGGCACCCCTATCCCCACCCGCCGGCTCCCTAGAACCGCCCAAAGCCCTCCTACCAGCGTCATGAGGTCGTTGGCCAGGTAGCGTTATCGTCTAATCCCTGGCGTCCCACTCCACCCTCTGCACGCCCCTTCCTACCAGCGTCATGACGTCGTTGGCCAGGTCCCGCGCCAGGTCGGTCGATATGAAGCAGGACAGACTGGTGAGCGCCACGGCTGAGTCGTACTGGGTCTGACTGTTGAGGTCCTTACGGATCATGTTGGTGGTCAGCATCAGAACCTGGCGGTGGTGGACGGTGTAGTTAGCACATAAAACAGTGGGAAAATGCCGAATAACAGATTATAGAAAACCTAACGCCTAGTGTATCCGAGTAGAGCGGAGGAACAAACAACGACTAATGGCCCTGTATAATTTAGTATGTGGTCAGGTAGAATAGCAAACACTGATAGCGAGGATTATTTTTACTGCGAATCTCACAATAAAAGCACCCTGCTCGATACTCACAATCCTTTTAGTTATGACAAAGCATGAGCTACAAGACAGATCTAATAAACTCTCTCCCTATCACATCCTTTCAGGACAACTCCAGCCACGATAGTCCTTAACCTTCCAGGCGGTGGGGGGGGGGGGCATTTTTTTGCCCCCCCCTTTACTTTTTTCGATATATCTCGAGAACCGCTGCGCCGATCGTCACCAAACTTTCAGTACCCTCCCGGGAGCAGCTAGCGCACATGGTGACCAAAAGTTTTTCCAAAGGCTATGATAGGTTGGCCGCTAATGACGTAAGAGTGACGTCATTTTTGCCATTTTCGACCCAAAAAAAAGGTTTCGCGGGAAGAGCTGTTAGGCCTACAGCTTTAGAGATACAGAAAAATATTTTAGACATAAAAGGTGTAAAATCAAAAGGGCTACAAAACTGCTACTTCGGTTTTTCGAATTTTTTGGATTTTGACCCCCAAAAATCAAAAAATAGATTTTTTGAATATAATAGCCAAAAAATCCAAAAAGGTTTTTGAATTTCGAAAAAAAACGGAATATATGTGATAGTCCCTACCGCCTTCTATCTACATACCAAATTTGAGATCGATACCTCGTTTTTTGGCCAAGTTATAGCGAAAAAACTGTTCAAAATTGATGACGTCAAATTTTCAAACTCAATTTTTAGCAATTCTAGACCTCGTAGCGCAGAACAAAGACCACCATTAGACTCCCCGTGACGAGCTGCATCGAATCGATACCCATTTCATGCAAAAATATCAACTTTGAAATTTGACCATTTTTGACCTGACCTTGACCTGACCTCCACCAGAAAGTGACCTAAACCGTACCTGATGGTCTTATAACCAACACCATTGAGTTGGAAATGAAAAACTGGCCATAAAACATGCATCACATAACCTTAGTAAAGTTGGGCTCATGTGGTGACCCTTGGTGACCTATGGTGACCTGACCTGTGACCTGACCTGGTATGACCAGTGACCTCTAATAGCAACATATGTACTAGACAACTGACGCCTTATCGCTGATTTTCGACAAAATGCGTTTTACTCGGTGTTATAGCGCTTTCCCTAGAAGCCCTGTGAACGCTGAAACATTTTATCTTTGACCTGACCTGTGACGTCATCGGTGACCCCGAGGTCAATGAAATTTGGTTTCCCTCGACAAATTTGACAGGGCTATCGAACGCCGTTTGAATTTTCCGGATCCGTCCAGTAGTTTCGGAGATACGGGGGGGGGGGGCAAAAAAATGCCCCCCCCCCCCACCGCGTGGAAGGTGGCTGGTAGGCCCACCGCCTGCCGGGTTAACCGGCGCCGTCTCGCCGCAGACCTACCTCAGTGTCGGGGTGGAACGACTGGGACGCCGCCAGGTAGCCGACCCGCTTGTAGGTGAACTTTGGCGAGCTCATCACCTCCACGATGTTGAAGCTGGCCCAACTGATGTCGTAGCCCAACATCTGGATCTGTGATGGTAAGAAAGGGGAGGCAAAGTCAGCAGGGGAATGGCCAACGGTGGCGGCAGCAACGGTAACAAGAGTGGCAAGTTTGGGAGATTTTAGGGGACGAATTGAAAAGTTTGGGTAGCTAAGGCGAATCAATAGCAAATCTGAGTAAGTTAGGCTTGTCCGAGCCATGTTTTCGGGAGGTTGAAGTACGAACCAGTGGTAACTGCTCTCGAGTCGTGTTCCTGTTTTAAGTTGGCTGAGAGTGTGCAGAGAGAAGTAGCTGAGAGTCGCCACTTGAAAACTCGAGAACAGTACTTGAGTGTCAGCACTCCCCAGTCCCCACTCAGATGGACACTAGGAAAGGTTATGGTAGGCGCAGACATCCCGCCCCGCTCATGATAACCCGGGTCTTTTGTTCGTAACAGTCACAACCAAGCAAGGGACAAGGCAATATGGCCCTGTTTACTAAGTTGGAAATAGCTGCTGACATATTTGGATTGCGAGACTCAAACAGTTGACCGGTGCTATGATCACACTGGTAGAGAATCTTATCAATATCAGCTCTTGAGACCGCCCTGTGCATAACACTGATACAAGGAACAAAAAGCGAGCAGGGCTCGCACTATTTCCATTTCCTGATTAAGCATGTCAAACATCTGACAGTTTTATCCCAGTCGACCAAATTATTCTCGAACAACAGTGAACGCACATAACCATCGGCTTACACCGGCGTTGTACCAAATATTCGTCAGTCATTTTCCTTAGTCACACACAACGGTCCGACCAAAACCGACGCACATGTCGCTGAACCCACGGCGACTTACGTAGGTGAGTTTCTGCACGGCGTTGACCTTGACGGCCATATTGTCCTGACGCAGTTCCTGCTTGATCTCCTCAATACACTGGGCGATGTATTTGGCCTGCAGAAAAGACAGGTCAGTCACACATGGGACATATAATGTAAGACAGTCAAACAGAAACAGCAAGAATGACGTTGCCAGGGAACATAGCGGGTTAGATTGTGAGACGCTTGCGAAAAAAAATCACGAAAAAGGGCCGACTTGTTTATGAACAGTGCACTAGCTATGCCTGCAACCACTGCTAAGTAATGAGCATCGCAAAATTATAGAGTTCCGATATCGATTCAGCCCTGCAGTTACCACGGTATGCCCCTTACCAGCCCCGCATCATTAGCCTTAGTAGCCGGGTATCATTAGCCTAAAAGACGTCCACGTATGTCCCGTGCCACTGTCCGACGAATGGCCGGCACCAACACGCCCTAATAGCGGGTAATTGGAGCCATCATCAACGGACAGCGGCCACCCGGCACCTTAGGAACGGGTTCAGGTCGAACGGAACTCCATTCAGTGGGGAGGCGGGCGGCAACACGTGGGCCATATGCACGAGAAAGATCTACCAGCCACTTCCGGCATGGTCTCAGGGTTAGGTCAACGACCGCAGTACGTTTCCAGTGTCCTGAAATTGATTTTTCGGAGAGTGTGATTGAAGCCCCGAGGACGTCGCTATTTCAAAAGGACGTCGATATCGGTGCGGAGCCTAAGCCACTGAAGATCCCTTACCTAAATCTCTTAAAATTAGCGATTTTCACTGGCAATATTGACTAATACCACCTCAAGGCACCTCAAATGATCATATATAGACACAAAGTAATGCCAGTTTACCCCTAGTAAAATACAAAATTCAAGCATTCACCACAAACACCAAAACAACACTTTGAAGATGTCTAGTTCTTGTCCATGATCGTACACAACAGTCAACAACAAATATGCTTCAACAAAAATCAGCTCAAGAGCCAGCGGCTATCACTAAATATTGACGTCATAAGAGGGATATCATATCGAGCAAGAGGACTGATGTAAAAAAGCAGACGTCCAAACAAAGAGGTGGAAAACAGTTCGGAAATTAATTTCCATAGCTTCCTGTTATGAAATTCAATTAAGAAAACTCCAAGGTGGACGCTGAATTTTTCTTAGCTGGAAAAAATGTGAAATCATTGTGCACTTTTCAGTTTTGTACCGACGTCGATTAAATGGGAATAACAAGGTCAATCGACGTCCCCAACATTGCGTGTATTTTTAAGCCAAGGACGACATACTTGAATTAATTCTGTTGAAATTCGGTAACTTTATTCTAATTCAAACAGATAAACATTAAACTTTTTCCCCAACCACTATCAACATATGCAAAATTAGCTACTTTTGAAGGGCATGTTCAAGGGGCAGCGCTAACCCGTTACTGTGACCTTCTGAGGGGAAAAAATGATTAAATATGTTACAGGAATTTAATACGAAAGGTATGTTGCGTGCTTATAGTTAAATGTCCAAGTAATATATTCGCATGATTAATTTTTATCTATACACTGCACAGTTACTAAAACTGAAAAGTGGAAAACGACGTCCTCAGATCCCTCTATTCCGACATCTTTTCTCCTTCATATGGCAGCATTACCTTCACATGGTAAAGGAAAAAACCTATCCATATCTGACGCACAGAAAACGAAAATAAAATAAAACCGCGTTGTTTACTGTTGCGGCAGTTGGCCAGGAAAGGGGAGTTGAGTGTAAGAGTGGGTTTGTGAGGACTTAGGATATATTTATTGTCATTTTGCATAGCCGTGTTTTTAGGCTACAGAGGTGATATTTCCTTTTGTTAGTTTGCTTTTGGTGTTCGATATACCTATCGACTTTTATCTGTCAGGGACGTCGTTTGGCTTTCCGGGACGTCACAAAGAGAATCTGTTAGGTGTGGGTTTCCACCCAAATTCACGAAAATCAGGACACTGTACGTTTCCACCCTATGACCTTTTACAAGTCATTTGGCAAGCCATCAAAACGGACAGAAAGTTGAATCATTCCGGTAAACTAATACCATATCTCATGCCCACGACATATCTGGAGATTGTGAGTTTTGTTACAGAATTAGAGATGAAACAGAACTGAATTATGTGAAAGCAGACCAATGTCGACCAGCCAGGCGACATGTGTCTCGCTGAACTTCGATTTGGGACGCGGGAGAATAACATGACTAAGGAAGATAATATTACATATATTTTCATGTAGCAAATGGTTCATCAGTAAAAAGTTAACTGAGTAAATTTCAAAATATTGCTTTTAAGGCACCCCTTCGAATAAAATCCTGAAAAAAGATCGAGGAAAAACATGAATGCTGACAAGTGACAGTCTACGACATGCATCCAAAAGGACTGATGACTTCGTGCAAGCTATTCCATTTCATTCAATCGGCCTGGCCCCACTCCAGCCATCGTAATTCACCCAGCGCCGGCCTGTATCGTTCTGTCGTCCCCGGCGCTACACTGCGCTCAACTCCGTGTCTCGTTCCCTAACATAAACAGGGAGTGCGGGCGCCGGGCGCGCGGTACCAGCTCATACACTGCCCGGCCGGGCGCCCCGGGCCCCAGTCCGGACCCGTCCGGGCACAGGAGACGCGCCCGGCTGCAGATATCCGCCGGCCAGATAACGACTGAGAGCGGTACCTCGCCAGGATTCAGGGCGTGGTTTAGGAACGATTTCATATTGATCATGAGATGCTACAATAGTGAATAGGTGTGAGACACGGGAGGGAAGAGGAAAGCAGAAAAACAGGGAGAGAATAATGGAAAGAGGGAGAGATATAAAAGACAATGGAAGAGCAGAGAACTGGAGAAAGAAATGGAGAAAAGAGCAGTAGACTGATAGGAGAGTAGAGAAAGAAGATATAAAGAGGAGAGCGAGGCACTGTGAATGCCATACGGGGAGGATACATGCCACCGTGCGAACAAATAGACCGTTCCGTGACCATAAATAAGTCAGTGATAGCCATCTAAATATGTGCCACATCACGCAAAAACACACTGCGCAAAGGGCACAGAGATTGCAGTAACGAAATGAGCCAGTGACCCGGATGGGTGAACGAGAATATCCGGAAATGTGATAGTAAGCCGCCCCATCAGGCACCTATCGGGCCAGGCAAAAGGTTAACGGAAACCATGAAGTTATTCGAGGGGTCTGGTCACTGACGATGTAGATTGTAGACAGTAGCCCACTTGCTTAACTGGAGACAGTATGAAATGCAGGGAGTGTGGACCACAAAAAAATGGACTGCTGAGGTTCCGTGACGGCAATTCACAGATAAAGAGCAAAAAAAAAAACGACCAAAGAGCGGCAATGTGAAGTGTTTGAATAGCCTCGAGTTGCTAGGCTAAGCTTACACGGCCTGGGTTAGCGGTTATAACGCTTGCCATTATAAACCGGTATTGTAACGGTTAATGCTAATCTAAGATGCGCTTTGTTTGCATACTTAATGTCGCGTCGCGCAGACCAGACAATATGCACGCCTACATAACCGAAACGCTGCTACTTCAGTTTCAGTCTAAACTGCCGCGTTGCTCCGTTCCAATTATCTCACATTACACACGATAATACGATATCAGTACCTAACCGTCCAACATACATATGACACCGTACCCTTCCCCACATTTCAATGACCGGGGATACATGAGCAGAGTAGATGCGTATTTCAAATGGATTACAGTGCTGATAAATAAGAAAATTCCATCCTGATAGGCATTTACTTGCTCATGTATTCGGGACCAATGTCCGTTCCCGTTCTCATCCTTTCAGAGTAATGCCATTCACTCCCAGCATCATCACTGCCGACATCCGCACAACTCTCTCTTCCTCCCTCCCTCCCCGTCTCTCTCTCTCTCTCTTCCTCCCTCCCTCCCCGTCTCTCTCTCTCTCTCTCCCCCTCCCTCTCTCTCTCTCTCTCTCTCTCCCCCTCCCTCTCTCTCTCTCTCTCTCTCTCTCTCTCTCTCTCTCTCTCTCTCTCTCTCTCTCTCTCTCTCTCTCTCTCTCTCTCTCCCACCGTCATCCCCTCCGTACCTCATTGTCCTTATTGTTGCGTATTCCCCGCACCAGGTCGGTGAGGTTCTTGTCGAACAGCCGCTCCAGGTTACCACGGATGTTGCGGATGGCCACATCCATAGCGGCCGAGCGGCAGCGGCACCGGCGGCGCTGGTAAGGTGGTCACCTGAAAAAAAAACAAAGTAAGCGTCAGGGTAAGGGTCAAGATCAGAGTCAGGGTCATGGTCAGGTCAGTGCACCCGTACTCCCGATGTGACTGTAATTGAGAGTTCCGTGGGTGTCTATGTCAAATATCGTAAGCATAACGATCGCCTTCCGTGTTAGCTTTCATACAATATTTACGACTTGAAAATGACTGGCTCAGCCGTAGACCATTATAAATCGCTCAACTGATCGGAAGCCGGTGAGCTCAGTTTCCGCCTCAGGCATTGACAAATGCACTTTTATACCCAAGGCACATGCAATTGTCAATGCATTACTCATGCAGACAGGGAGCCTAACTTTAAGTTATTGCGATTCCGGCCGTCGTGTTGGAAACTTCGGCAGGAAGTTTCGAAGTTCCATGGGCGCCAGTAGAGTCGCAATTATGAACGCTTGAGGAAGGAGTGAACGTAAGAAGGATCAATAAAGGTTAACTGTAGCGACCAAATGGTCACAAAATACCTGCCGATTCACATAGTAAGGTTCGGACCGAATAAGAGGGTAGAAGGGAACTGGAAGCAAACAAAGCCAATGCGTGGCTGAAACGTAACCTTCTGACTTTTTCACCAAAGCAAACAGTGTAAGGACGCTACCAGACTCCAGATTACACAGTTTTTTTTTTCACGGACCCAACAACCTCCGCGACAATAAACAAATCACCAATCTCATCTTCCTTTTCAATCTACACCTTTCAAAGTTGCAACAAATCATATACACCACCGCTGACAAAAAATCAGTCCGTTCGGTTCAAACCATAACTACAAATCCACACTGCTCCCGCCACTCGTATGGGCGGACACATGCAATCCCCGTGCGACAAATTGCACGGCACCGCCTTCGTGACACAATCAGAGGAGCGATCGGCGGGCTCTGCACAGAGACGTGGCCGGGCGGGGTCGGTCGGATCACAGCAGCAGCGGTCTCCACGGTCGGACAGAGACGATAAAATGCAGCATAATAGGGCCGCTGGTGTAGAACGAGATGGAAGGCAGAGTGGACCAAGTATGGAATTGAGATGACAAAAAAGTGTACACTTAGGAGATCCTTGGCACCAAGAGGAAAAAATCGGAGATAAGATTCCAAATATACTATAACTTCATATTTTACCGACACCGTTCAACTGTGGACTGTATCAGCAAAGGTCCAATAGGTCCCCAAACCCGTGCATGAGAATACGCAAATCACAGGGCGGTACCCGCACAACCGCGTCCGAATTACCCATTCATGAATTGCTCTTCCTCGAACTGTCACGCATGAGGGACCATCTGTCTCTCGTCTGTCACGAGGCACACATTTGGCTGCACCTGTGACCGAGACCGCCGAATGCACCGCCCCTTACTGGCCGCCCCGGGCAGCTGGTAATGTGGCAGTCGGCCGGGTAGGTACACTATCCGCTACTGAATATCGAATAACGCTGAATGGCGGCAGACTGCGTCATGACCGGGGTTTGACTCGGTAAGGCGCGGTGATTTTGAGAGCCCTCGGCGGTCACCAACGGAAAATACAGATACAGGGTCATTGGGGTCGTACCATTACCATCAGCCAAATAGGCTAAACTCCCATTGGGTTCAAATGGAATTGAGTTAGCATAGAAACCCACTGCATGCCAATGAACCAGCTTACAAAGCATAGGTAAATTCTGGTCAAGTCCATTCTCAGCGCTGAAAAACCACCCCATCAAAGTTCTGCAACGTGCATTCAAGATACAGCATTTCTCCACAACCGCACTGCTGCAGCCATCGCGGCCCTTGACTACCTGCTCCTGTGCGTTCCCTCCCTCCCCCTCCCCTGTCGGCGCGGAACTGTCAGACGCCGACATCCGACACCTTACACCCGAGAGCCGGCATTGGACACCCGACACCTGGGGCAGACGGACCGACACAGCCGTCCGAGGGTCACGTGACACCGCCGGGCCGCTCAGCAAGCGGGGCGAGTCAATGTCACGTGATGCAGACAAATCCCGAAGGACACACGCCGGGGCGCATCACGTGACACCGACAGGCTTACTCAGCAGCAGGTCGTGTTGACCAGACATGACGTCAGCATGTTAGTAGACAGTACGGAGGGAAAGTCACGTGCCGACCACGCCCCGTGACGGCCGGCAGGGTGTCTGGGCTATTATCATGTGACAAAACCTGTCGTCTGGCTATTCCGTCACGTGACCTGTGATGCCGGTGCCCGCTGGCAGTGCCACTCGGCACGTTACGAGCATGCAGTCTCCGACGTAAGACCAACACAAAACTGCTGCAAAACGCGTCCTTCTTACAACGAAACGGACATCAACGAATTAGAAACGGATCTGCGGCTGAGGCCCAGCTACGCGCCCCAAAGTTAGATCGAAGTTTCACTACTGAAGTGAATGACGGCACTGTCCTCCCAGATCTAATGCCTTCCTTGACCTCTCTCGCATATGCAAACCGGCTTCATATAGTGGACCACACGGCACACAGTATGAACAGTCTACTATTCTCATATTGAGCTCACCATCACCACCAAGCTGAAATTCAGGACACAGGTGACTTAAAATGAAATGGATGGCTGTGATGAGCATCGTTATATATACTATGTAATACGAGAAGTAGTAGCCTTTGCTCATATTAATGTTCAAATAATGCACAAAATTGTGCAATTGCATTATTTGAACATTAATATGAGCAAAGGCTACTACTTCTCGTATTACACACAGGTGGACTTACTCAACAAGCAGAGGACAATGATGATGCATTAGGTACCCATTTGGTGGTCTAAGGAGATTGCCTAGTGAGCATTATTCAAAACATGCCAAAACCTTGCAATGATCCAAAAGCATGCCTTATGCCAGTTGACCTGGTCTTCATGTAACTGACTATTATATTCACTTAGCTCAAATAGTTGGTGATTTATTTAGGTACCCCAAACTGTCAAACACCACTGGGAGATAGACACAGCTTTGGCCAGTACTTACATCCTCTGCTGAACACATTCTGCTGTGGGTGAAGGGACACATCCCTTTCCACAAGCACAACCAACATACAACAGAAACATGCTAGCAAGAAGACTTGACAGAAAGTTTGTCAAACAACAGTGCACATTTTCAAACAAATGCATTAGGAAGTGAATTATTAAAAAAGGAAATGCTAGGTACTAAAAATCGCAACAGGAGAGGATTTTTGTTAAAGAAATGCTAAATATTTTAACAAGGTAACTAAAAATCAAAATCATTTGACAAAAAATTAAAACAAAGTAAGAAACAGTAGCTAATATGGCATTGAGATTTGAGCATGATCCTCGTAACTGCACCAGGCCTGCTACCCATAACTATAAAAAATATATGAGGAAAGAAAATGCATAAATAGGTAGTAACAGGATGTGATGCGCATTTAAAATGTATGTATAACACACAAAAATTAAAACCACACATGAAAATATACAATTTTGAAATGAAATACCAAAGCAGGCCTTGGTTGCACCAAAATCCTGGCAAAGTGACCCACCTTAAAAATGTCGGTATATGTCAATCCTTTTCCTCTTTTAGTCTGAAACGACGAAAAAAATAATCAAACATCCACTAAAACCCTGTAACTAGCGGGACATACGGCACGGAATTGTCTGACCCTTTTGCATTTCAACATGCGCCGGTTTCGGACCGAAGAAGGCAATGCAGCCATTCAAAGAAAGATACATAGAACACATACGGAACAAATTGAGGAGAGCTTGGGCGATATTAGCTTCGAAAGGTCCTCTGAAAAATGTTACCAAAAATATCATAAAATACCTCTTGTGATATAAACCAGGGCCGTATATATAAACGCGAGGCAAACAAGACGCACGTTTGTGACGCGTACAACTTTGGATTATTTTTCTTATCTTTTAATTTTGATGACATCATGAATTTTAACAAATCATTTTCGGATTTCGACTGAATGTCGAGGGCCGAAGCAAGTTGAGAAAAAATGTTCAACAGAAATAAACGATGTCAGTTATGAACTCAAAGTTCAAATCAACTAAAAAATTGTTAGCATTCAAATACCTGTTTTTCCAATACTGATCTCAGGAAGTAGTTTACATGTATTCTGATTTTAGACTACGTCATTTTATAGAGAATTCGTTTGCAAACATTAGATTTGCATTAGCCTTGGCGAACGAGCCGACAGTTTTCGTCGTTTTCGTTTCGTGCGGTATATAGGGCCTTGGTTTCGTGCGTTGAGGTCGAAGTCCGTCATCACGATCCGTCACGATCCAAGGCAGGATCTTGGCGGGATCCATTCCAAGGTGTGGGGGGGGGGGGGGGAGGAGGTCGAATTTTGTCAGTTTTCTGTATACCTGCCTTTGTTTTGTTTGTGTATTGTGGGTTTTATTGTGCTTATGCCCCTCCCTCAAAAATGTCGAATGCGCTTTCATTTCAAGGGCAGACGTGTCTCCAGGAGCTCCCGGTTTTGGCAGACAACGCTCCACTATCCACCACAATTACTCAACCACGATCGTTCCAGGTTATAAATCCTTAGATAACAAATCCAGAATTACCTTCTATTATTCCCTTATATGCGAAACGGAAGGTTGAACACCTCGCGGAAATGCCGGTTGGGCGATCTCCGCCCTTGCAGCGACGCGCGGGAATTTTCACGGAAGGTGCGTCAGATACGCCTCAAGACCAACAGCATGAATCTGCCATTCGAAATAAAGCGGGATTATGTCATGCTTCTGCGCCCAGTGGCGTTGCGGCAAAAGTAAGTGCAAGTGAGAAAGAAGTTGCTAGAGGACATGATGAAGACATAGATGCGGTAGATGCGGTGTCTCAGTTTAATACCGCTCCGGATATTGTGATTTCTGAGGAGATCATCAAGTCTGCAACTGGTAAGGAAAGTGAATGCAAGGGGGGAGAATCAAAAAGCATTGGTAAACTCAGCCCAGAGGCATACAGGCTTTGGGGATCAGGTCACAGCCACACAAGCAGTGAGGGCGATGGCAGGTCAAAACATTGCAAAGGGGGACCCAACCTCCTGGTGTGTGGGAACCCGGTTGAAGAGGATGACCAGGGCGTTCATTGTGACAAGTGCAACCAATGGTTTCACTCTTCCTGCCAGGGAGTCCCTGTCGGTGCATACAGAGCACTCAACAGGTTCCCGATACTGTCATGGCTGTGTGCAGAGTGCAAGGTGTCAATAATGAAAAGAGGGGAAGAGCATGAATTCTCAGATCATTTTGCCCTACAGAAGGAAAAGATAACTGAACAGACTGACACAATCACTCGTCAGACTGAAAGAATCTCAACCCTTGAGAGCAAAGTGGAGGGTCTGACAGTTATGTTTATGGAGCATATGAAGCGAGTACAGGGATCTCTCAAGGAGCAGGAGACTGCACTGATTCACCAAACGCGGGTTGTTGAACGCTCGTTCAAGGAACAGAAGGAAATGAAGGATTCATATGCTAGCATTGTGAAAGGTACCTGTGACGAGGTTGTCAAATCTGTCAGGGAAATCAAACCAGCTGAAACTTCAGCACCAGCAGTGAACATAGGATCTCAGGCAGCCAAGGAGATTGCAAGTATCTTTGACAGCCACAATGACAAAGAAAGGAGGAAGTGCAATGTGGTGGTCCACAACTTGCCAGAAGACGATCAAGGCCAAACACCGGCTGAGCGTATTGATAGGGACAAAGTGGAATTCATCAAGCTGGTCAGAGAGGAACTGAAACTCAACATCAGAGTTACGAAAGCCTTCCGAGCTGGCAAAGTGCAACCTGGCAAACCTAGACTCTTGATTGCTACACTGGAAAACGTAGAGACTAGGATTGAGCTTCTCAAAAGTGCGAGGCAGTTGAGGGACAGTGCCAGGTGGAGCAACATATATATCTCTCCTGATTTGACCTTCAAGGAAAGAGAAGCGAACCGAGTATTGAGAGCTGAACTCAACAGCCGCAGGATGGCTGGAGAGAAAGAGCTGTACATCTTCAAGGGCAGGATCATGAAGGGATCTGCCAAACCCATCACACATGACAAGACCAGCTCAGATACTACCGCAGCCAAGACTGGTGAAAAAGCTTCAGTCGCACCAGAAGTCTCAAGCTCCAACAGGCAACAAAGTCAACCTGTAGACTCTCTCGTCCAAGAACAACCAGCTCTGAATGCTCCCAGCCATGCTGGTAGTGGGTCTTCCGGAAGCAGACCACGTCAGTATTGACATACTGACTCAGCGGACAGTGCACAGTTCAAGGTGTTATACACAAATGCCGACCAGTTTGTTAGTAAGCGGGACGACCTGTGCATGGCTATCTGTGACAATATGCCTGATATAATTATGATCACGGAAGTCATCCCCAAAGCTCAGACTCTTCCTATCTCACCTGCTTTGTTGCACATCCCAGGCTTTACAATTTTCAGCAATTTTGACCCCTCACATACAATGCTTGGAAAAAGTGGGAAGAGGGGAATATGCATATATGTGTCCAGCTCACTCATTGTATATGAAGTACCATTCCCCGAACGTGATGTGGAGCAGTTGTGGCTCAAAGTTGGCCTCCATGGACAGGATGAGTTGTTGCTTGGATGCATTTACCGCAGTCCCTCCGGGCCCATACAGGAAAGCACTGAACAGCTGTCAAGTACATTGAAAGAGGCATGTAATCATGGAGCATCCCACCTGATGATTGCGGGAGATTTTAACCTCCCCCAAATTAACTGGGAAAGCGAGGTGTCCACAGCCCCTGAGACTCATCCTTCTCATGCTGTCATTGAATGCATTCACGACTGCTTTCTTTACCAACATGTTCGAGAGGCGACACGATACCGAGTGGGTGAAGCTCCAAGCACTTTAGATCTTATACTAACCAATGAAGAGGGCATGGTAAGAAATGTTGAATACCATCCCTGCCTGGGAAACAGTGATCATGTAGTTCTTCGTTTTTCACTGGTATGCTACTCAGCAGCCAAAATTCTTCCCAAGGACCAGAGGTGCCGTGTGGACTTCAATCAACTGGCTTCTACCCTAGCCTCCATCGATTGGGGCCATATGACTTCCATGGACTTGACTGACGCTTACTCCTTCTTCAAGGGCAAATGGGATTGGGCTGTCAAGCTGTGCACCCGAGCAGTGCCAACTGCCCTCAGGTCCAGAAACCTGTACATGGACAGGCAAGCCATCCAGCTGAAGAAAAAGAAGTCCCAGCTATGGAAGATCTACATAAGGTCTAAAGATGTGATCGATTTTGCCAGGTACGCAACGTGTCGCAACAGGCTTAGAACTCTAACGAGAAACCTTCGTAGGAGCTTCGAAAAACAACTAGCATCAAGGATAAAGGACGATCCAAAAGCTTTCTGGAGGTATACGTCATCAAGATTGAAAACAAGATGTGGAGTTGGTGACCTCAGGGACGAAAGGGGCGAAGTCGCTACATCAAATCATGAAAAAGCCTGTATATTGAACAGGTTCTTTGCCAGTAACTTCACAGAGGAAGGCAGCGATGATCTACCAGTACTGACAGTCGAGCCGGTTTGTCAACCAGCTGATGACATTGAGATCACGCCCGCGACTGTTGCTGAGAAGCTCTCCTCGTTGAAGACAACCAGTGCCCCAGGACCGGACTCCATTCATCCTAGAGCCTTGCGAGATTCTGCAAACGGCCTTGCTCTCCCGCTGTGCACTCTGTTCAGGAAGTCGCTGGACTCCGGAATCCTTCCTCCGGACTGGAAGACTGGGAATGTGATCCCGATCCACAAGAAGGGAGACAAACGGTCCCCGGGAAACTACCGGCCGGTGAGCCTCACCTCTGTCCCCTCCAAGATACTTGAGTCCATGGTGAGAGACCGACTGATCTCGCACCTGACTGACAATGACCTGCTGCACCCAGCTCAATATGGGTTTCTGCCGAAGCGGTCTTGTACTTCTCAGCTCTTGGAAGTTCTGGACGACTGGAGCGCAGCTATTGAGAATGGTAAACCAGTCGACGTATGCTACCTCGATTTTGCAAAAGCCTTCGACTCGGTCCCTCATAAGCGCCTCCTCGGGAAACTGAAGGCATATGGCATCTCCGGCAAACTCCTACGGTGGATAGGATCATTCTTGACTGGCCGCTTGCAGAGGGTGCAGGTCCAGGGAGACGCATCAGACTGGTCCCCCGTTACAAGCGGAATCCCTCAAGGATCTGTCTTGGGTCCTACCTTGTTTATTATCTATGTTAACGACCTACCCGAATGTGTAACGAACTGCGTTCGGATGTTCGCCGATGACACCAAGATGTACTGCCGCGTTCCTACTGCGCTTTCCATGCCAACTCTTCAGCAGGACCTTGACGCCCTCCTTCGCTGGTCGGAAACGTGGCTCCTCCGCTTCAACGCAAGTAAATGCAAGATTATGCACATTGGGACCAGAAACCCTCGCATGCACTACAGCCTCGGAGACAGTGCCATCAGCGAGGCGACCGTAGAGAAGGACCTCGGCGTCATCATAGATCACCAACTCAAGTTTCATGAGCAGACAGCGGCTGCAGTGTCGAAGGCCTCTCAGGTGTTGTCGGTCATCAGGCGGTCATTTGCGAACCTGGACTCAAACACCCTCCCATTACTATTCAAGACACTGGTGAGACCGCTGTTGGAGTATGGGAACCTCGTATGGGGACCGTTTAGTAAGCTGGACCAGAAGAAGGTTGAGCGGGTGCAACGAAGAGCTACTCGCCTGGTACAAACTGTCCGACACCTGTCGTATCCAGAGAGGTTGCGCGCACTGAAGCTCCCTTCGCTATACTACAGACGTCAACGGGGTGATATGATAGCCGTCTATCAGATTCTGCATGGTGGCATGGCGGTCCCCACCGAGAA